TTTTTGTTCATACGGGTTTTTTTTTTTTTTTGGTACCAAACCGTGGTACACTTGTGTCATCAGAGTGGCAGGTGTTTACCCCGTTACTAGGTAACGACTATGCAGAGGATGGCAAAATGAATGGATACTTGCTCGCTTAATTTTTGTACTTCAGATTTTGAAAACTTTGATTAATTTCCAAAGCGCCAACACAGAACGGCACATGTGTCTATTTGTCATGACTGTAATGCAAAGGTTCAAAAGAACGCCGGAGTCAATTTCTGCGAGCAGAAATTAGATATAGGGTGTGTTCACACTTGTCATGTTTGGTTCGATTAAAACGAACCCTGATGCGTTTGCTCTGTTAGTGCGGTTCGTTTGAGTAAGTGTGAATGCTGCCATCCGAACCCTGGTGCGCACCAAACAAGTGGACCGAGACCACTAAAAAGATGGATCTCGGTCCGCTTCCAAACGAACTCTGGTGCGGTTCGAATGAAATATGAACGCAACACAGACCAAATATTTCTAAATGAACCAAAAACAGGAAGTAATGACAAGATGCAATGCTATACGACATGATTTGATGACGCGGAACGAGCGGTGTATCCAAAACAAAATGAGCAAAGGGCAAACGTGGAGCAACGAGGAGGTAAAGTGCCTTTTATGAGCTCTTCGTGAGTTCGCAGGTGGTGAAAATAAAATCATAAGTACACACAGCAATGAGTGTGCTTTGTCCAGTAGACCGCATTAGTTGTGTTCGACATAAAGACCGATCGGTGAATGGGAACTTTGATGTCATACACCGTTCGGTCTGCACAGCGCGGCTTTAAGTCAAACACAGCTTTTGTTTGGGGTGTTCGGTGAGTTCCGTCGCGAAATATACGTCATTCAACCCGACCAATCAGGTTGTGAACGTATCACTATGCCTTTAGGTTCGGTATCTTTAGGTTCGCTGTCAAAAATGCCAGTGTGAACGCTAAGCGGACCAGGACCAAATGTATCATTTTCTTTTTTGGTCCGGACCAAACGAACCAAGAGAACTTGTCTCTGCTGCAGAGCGTCAGTCACGCTTTTCAGGAAAGCGAGTGACACAAACACGTAAATATTCGCAAGAACCGTACCCCAGACCAGCCTTTTTAGGTGGACTCGGGTACGGTTCACGGATGCGCACCCGAGTTCAGAAAATAGCATTCACATTATCCAAACAAACCGAACTCTGACGTCAAATGAACCCAGGTGCGCACCAAAAGTACTAGTGTGAAAGCGCCCTTAAATTGATAAATTATTATTAATGTATATAATAATCCAATTCTAATGTAAATTAGAATGATAAAAAAATCAATAAATCAAGTTGTAAAATCAAATGTATTTCTTTAATGTTTTTTTTGTTTTTTTTTACCATTTATTATTATAATAATAAATAATAAAATGTGTTTTTAATGTTTCCCCCTAAATAACTTTGTTTTTAGCATTTATATCAATATTCCCAGTTTATATGAATACAATTTTGAAAAGCAACAGCTGCCACAAATACAGTTATATACTATACTGATACTATACTATACTGCTACAGCTCAACTTCACAAATGCTGAAACCCACCAGCTTCATCTTTTCAAAAACAACAGGAGCCTCTTTTGTTACTGTCTCACTCTTTTCTTTCTAAAAAAGGAAAGAAAATTTATTTTATTCTTTCACAAAATCAAAGTAAAAGATACAATTACAATGAGAATTTTTAATTCCAAAATCTCAGGACTTACCCTGAAGGACTGGATGTCAATGCATTTATCCATATATTTCTTCTTATCATATTTGTCACGGATAAAAATCTCAGAAGCTCTGTAAGGTGTAGCTTAAGGAAACCTTTAACATGAGGGGAGAATAAGCTTAAACATGCATGCACACACATACTATATATAAGCGCTGAAGGATACTGGTCTGTCTCTGGGCGCTGGAAGCACTCTGGTAAAAAGGCCTCATATAGTCGCCGAGCTTTGGCATTCCCCATCTCCTGAACAGACTGAGCACAACACAAACACATCTATATCAATCAGCCATATACATAGATCATACATAAACAGGGCCCATAAAGCTTACCTGTATCTGCTCATGAGTCCACTGGTCCAGGTTTATGGATTTAACTCGTGATATGTGCACGCCAAGATTCCGATGGATTCCTGCACAGCGGATACAAATGAAGATTCCAAGATTCCAGGATGCCCATCTGGGACCTGATGGACAAAGAAAAAAAAAAAGAAGAAATTAGATATGTAATTAGGACTACAGTTTAATCTACTTTTTTTTTTCCAGGAATATGAAATTATATAAATAATGAATACTGAAATGGCACTTTATACAGATATTTAATTTAAAAATATTTAATTACATCTTTAAAAACTTTCATTTTATCAATCATTGTGGAAGAGCAATTAATCTCCCGGAATTCTCTAATTTATTAAAATAAATTAAATTATATATATATATATCATCTTGAGCAGCAAATCAACATATTAGAATGATTTCTGAAGGATTCAGTGTTGCCATCACACAATTAAATTACATTTTAAAATGTTAAAATAGAAAACAGTTATTTTAAATTGTGATAATGTCACAAAATTTGACAAAATTTCATTATGCTTTAAAATTCAACAAAGTCCTCTTCCTTTCATTACAATTAAACTTCCTGTGGGGTGTGGCCAAATAAATTCTAATTCCATTCTGTGAAATGAAAGCGAGCCAGTTCTCAAAATCAGAATTCAGCACAACCCTGGCTGAAGCAATTTAATGAGTCAGTGAAGGAGAGAATGGACAGAAAAACACAGACAGAAGGGAGCGAGAGATAGAGGGAGCCTGCTAAGGAGTGATATTTACATTCTCCTGCTTGGAATTAGAAGAGAAAATAAGAAGCTTCACGCACTGCACTGACTAATCCAGTTTGGGCAGTCATGTGGACAGGCTGGCACAATGCTGATAACGCACACCCACCAGCCCCTGCAGCATCTGTAGTCCTTCCCACTGCTCTTAAATCACACATGTATGAATACACACAGGCGCACAGTCATGATAAAGCCCACACTACCTTCAACAAAGTCATTTGAAACAGAACAATGCCTCAAGGTGCATATATATATATATATATATACACACGTGTTATCACCATTTTCCCCATTTTTTTCTACTTCAAACACATTATGTAATGGTACTCCCCTGAGACATGAGCAAGCTTCAAAGACAATGCCAAAGACTGTCTCTGAGCACAAGTATTGAGCTTTCCTGTTGAAGTAATATCAGTTTTGGCCAATAGGTGGCAGCACCACATTAAGTTATTGTCCTGGCTGGTCTCCTGATGTGATGTCACAGAGGATTGTTGTGCCAACATTTCTTCTTAATTGCTTCGAGTTCTCTGGAACAAGCACACAGCATCCTGGGACGGTCCTACCTGCTGTTTACACAGCGCACCTGCTGTGGTTATATTCATCTGAGTGGATCTAATTTCACACAAAATAGACGGTTTGCCTCTAACCTTCAGTAAGCATCAATATGGCACACCCATGGGCCCGTTCGCTGACAGTCTTGTGCGTTTACATACAAAAGTGAGAAACATTTTTTAAAATAACAAGCTCCAATCAGATTGTGAGGCTTGTGTGGAAGAAATAACTAGATTTGGAAAAGTTTGCTTTGCATTAAATCTCTAAAAAAGAATCAGTTTTGTTTGAGAGACTTAGTAGCAAGTAGGAAAGGGAGCTGTAAAATCATTTTAACGATTCCATTTGTTGCAATTCAATTAATGATTCTTTTAGTAGTTTTATTAGAAAAAATACATAGCCTACTTTTATTCAGCAAGAATGAATTAAATTGATCAAAAGTGAGAGTAAATTAGTAATAAGCATTAGTAATATTTATTTTTCAAATAAATTGTTCTTTTGAACTTTATATTTATCAAAAAATCTTTTAAAAAACGTATCAGTTTCCACAAAAAATGTTAAGCAGCACAACTGTTTTCAACAATAATGTTTCTTTGCACCAAATCAGCATATTAATGATATCGAAGGATCACATGACACTGAAGACTGCTGCTGAAAATTAAATGTTGCATCACAGGAATAA